AACGAAATATACGGAAACCATGGAACAGTATATATCGCGAGGTCACGCAGAGAAAGTGCAAGCAAGCGATCACAAGGAACAAAGTAACCGAACAAGTCCCCGGTGGTACCTACCTCACCATCCCGTGATGCACCAACAAAAGCCCGAAAAGGTCAGAGTTGTCTATGATTGTGCGGCATCTTACAATGGAACATCGTTAAACGAGCAGCTGCTGCAAGGTCCGGAATATACGAACTCGTTGGTTGGAGTGTTACTACGTTTCCGAAAGTAACGTATGGCATTCTTATCAGACGTCGAGCAGATGTTTCATCAAGTTTATGTACAACCAAGTGACCGGAACGCGTTGCGTTTCTTATGGTGGCCAAATGGAGATCTTCAAGGCGAGCCTGAGGAGTATAACATGAACGTTCACTTGTTTGGGGCAACGTCGTCACCAAGCGTCTGCTCTTACGCACTCCACAAGGCAGCGGAAGATAGTAGAGAAGAATACAGTGTCCAGACGATCGAAACAATCAACAACAGCTTTTACGTGGATGACTGCCTCAAATCGGTTGCAAATGTAAATGAAGCAATTTCACTTGTCAAAGAACTTACCTCTTTACTAGCGAAACGAGGTTTTAGGCTCACCAAGTGGGTTTCCAATGAAAGAGAAGTTCTATCAGCAGTACCGTCTATGGAATGAGCAAGGTCAGTCAGTCTCGATATGGAAAAGTTGCCTGTCGAAAGAGCTTTAGGCGCTCAATGGGACGTTGAAAGAGACATGCTAGGATTCCGTCAAGGAAAGGAAACGAGCAGCACAAGAAGAGGTATCCTGTCATTCGTCGCATCTATTTATGACCCGCTAGGTTTAGCGGCACCATTTGTTCTCCCCGCGAAGATGATGTTACAACAGCTGTGTCGCCTCAATCACGACTGGGATGCAAGCCTATCAGAAGGATGTCTTAAGAAGTGGGCAGAAATCAAGAAAACGGTCGAGAAACTGATGGAAGTACAAATTCCACGCTGTTACAAGTCACCAACCTTGAAAGAGATACGAAGTGCAGAACTACATCACTTTGCCGACGCTTCTGTAGAAGGTTATGGCACAGCGTCGTATATCCGCTTGGTCGACATCGAAGACAATGTTCATTGTACCCTGATCATGGGAAGGTCAAGAGTGGCTCCCTTAAAAACAATAACTATACCAAGACTAGAATTGTCAGCGGCGACCCTGGCAGTAAAGGTCAACAAGCAGATACGCCAAGAGCTACAAATGCCAATACACCGTGTTGTATTTTGGACAGACTCTGTTATCGTTATCGGATATATTCGAAATGTATCCAAGCGTTTTCATACATTTGTAGCTAACAGGCTACAAATAATCCACGATGCATCTTCTCCAGAACAATGGCGTCATGTACCGACGGAAAGTAACCCTGCTGATCTCTCTTCAAGAGGAATTAAAGTCAACGACGAAAAGGAGATGTGCAAATGGTTCAATGGTCCAGAGTTTTTACAAAGGGAAGAAGATTACTGGCCGTCATCACCAGACAACGAGCAAGAGATAGGAGACGAGGATGCTGAAGTAAAGGGAAGCAAAGCASAAATGTACGCTCAAGTCAAAGCGAATGTTGATGTCAAGAATGTTACCACTTCCTTAGATGAGCTTTTGCATCGTTGGTCAAGTTKGTACCGACTATGTAAAATGGTTGCATGGCTCCTACGCTACAARCGATATCTGATGTGGCACTTCAACARGACAAAACATCCTGCAGTATCTTCAGAACCATTAAAGGTGAATGAAATGTCGGAAGCAGAAGTTGAGGTGATCAAGCTAGTGCAGAAAGAGGCCTTTCCATCAGCACCAACCAAGATGCGTACTAAACATGGAGCAAAGATCGTACATGATCGTCTTCAAAACCTGAGCCCGATTACAGAGAATGGAGTCTAACGAGGAGGTGGTCGTTTGACAAACGCTCCACTAGACGAAACCCACAAGCACCAAGCTATATTACCCTCCAGTCATCATGT